CGCCACGGTTAATATCTTCTTGGTCGCAAGCATTCGGAGCGGTGGAATTCGGCAGCCATTCTGCAGGGGGGGTCGTGCACAGGCCTGCCACACATGCACATGTTTCGCCCCTCTGCGTGCATGCATGTGCGACCAGTGCCCCCCCCCCCCTGCTGTTGGCACTTTCCCACCCTCCCCAGGCTCCTAGAAAGGCCCTGGGGAGGGTGAAAACAGCCTCCCTGCCCCCTCCCAGAGACCCTGTGGAAGCTTCAGGAGCTTCCCTGAAGCCTCCGGAGTGCGAAAAACCAGCCCTGCAGGCAAAACGGAAGTTCACAGGGCTGATTTTAGCCCTCCGGAGTGTTCAGGAACCCTTCTGAGGCTTCTCTGAAGGCTCCGGAGGGTAAAAATGACACTATGAGCAAACCGGAAGTGGAACCAAAGGGGTGGTTTTTTGCACTCCGGAGACTTCAGGGAAGCTCTGGTGGGTGAAAAATGGGCTCAAAAGAAGGCAGAAGTGAACTTCCAGCTAACAGGGCAAGCCTCGTGTGCCCTGATAAATGGCTCCATGTGCCACTTGTGGCACACGTGCCATAGGTTCGCCATCACGGCCCTATACCATTTGAGACAAATGGTTGCCCAATCTCTTCTTGAAAAAGTCCAGTATTGGATCACCCACAACTTCTGGTGGCAAGTTATGATTAATTGCTCTAGCTGTCAGGAAATTCCTCCTTAGTTCTAGGTTGCATTGCTTCTTGTCCTGCCCAGTTGCTCTGGAGAAAATAGTGCAGAATGTAAAGTCGTTTCAATATCTAACGGTGGAGAAATGAGATATTTGACAATGATTTTTGTAGATTCATATGGGAATAGAGGTGTAAGGAATGGGATAGCCTATGAGGATAAAGAAGTAAAAGAGGAGGCCGGAACTGAATTACATTTGAATATGAAATTCATGTTAACATATTGGTTCTTTTTAAGAAAAAAGTCCAAGGTCGTGGAAGATATAATCCTCCAAAGAGAACTGGTGGGCAAGCAAAATCTGGGTCACTTCCTCGATTAGGCTTTGAAGGTGGCCAAACACCATTTTATCTGGTTATTCCAAAATATGGCTACAATGAAGGACATCAGTAAGTTTATTCCTTTATTACATGTACAAAAATGTGAAATAATATCTGCTGGTTCTTCAGCTGGTGTTTTGCCTTCATGTACATTGAATTGTTCTATAGGACTGGTATTTGTATGAATCCAAGATGACCGTATGTAATTGAGAGATAGAAATGTTGTCATATTTTTGAAATGATGTCCAGTAATGATAATTTATTATCATCTTAGACATAAAAGCTGGCTAGGTGACTCTGGACTAGTCTCTCGGCCCAACCCACTAACAGTTGTCATGGGAAAATAGGGGGTAGAAGGTATTATATCATTTAAACTATGTATTCTATATAACAGGTAGGATAAAGATTTTATCATAACTTTATTCATTTTTGTAAGAATGTGAAATTAGTCTATATTATTCTTTCCCACTACAATTGGAATCCTTCCTCAAATCTCATTACAAATGACTTCTGAAATAACTGATAGATTTTCACAATGAAAAACATAAATGAGCCTTCTGAGTATTTTGATGTACATTCATCTAAATTGTAGTGATTAGATTTTAAATAACATTTTAAATATTGTTCCTATAATCACAAGTGAGAGAATTATCCTTTAAAGTCTGTAATTCTCATAATTTCATAGCATGCAAGGGATACAATTGAAGGAATGTATGTGTAGTCACAACAATTTAAATTAAAGATGATGATATATTATTGTTCATATGTGTTTGTCTTTAAGAGTGTCTTACTTATCCATACTTACTAGTATTATCACATCTTTAATCCAATGAATAATCAGGGCCATAAATTTCATTCCAACAGTATAAGAAGGACATCTACAATTTTTCCTTGTCTAGCTGTAAATTTCTACATAAGTATATTGTTCAAAAAATACATCTAAAAATATCGAGTATTCAATGTATTCAATATTATATTCAGTATTCAATATTCTAAGTATTCAACTTGAAATTAAGTAACTAGTTTTACTAGAACATGATAATTCAGGCCATCAGAAAAACACTTGTTTTAATTGCATTAGTCAAATGTTATATTAAAGTTCTTTTTATCTTTATATTTGCAATTTATAGCTAGGCTGTTAAAGAGAATTGTTTGAAAGAAGACTTTGTAAGAGGAATGTTTGCCTTTTTATTTCTGAATTGTTAAGTGGCCTGGGTTCTGTCAGTGCACAGTATTAAGCTGGTCTTCGTTTTGCAAAATATGCTTGCCACATAAAGATATATAGGCTTGAGTGAATCTGTAAGATTGCAGAAGAATATTCCATAGATAAAAAAAATTCATCTTTCATTGAGGATGGTTGTCCAAGAACAATGTGCTGATGTATTATACTATCAATATTCTTAAATTACTTTGAATTGGATTTACTTTATGAATGTTTATTTTCTTTTCATTTCATAGTCTCCGGCGTCAATATCCACCTATCAGCCTCAGAAAGTTGCAATACCTTATTGACTTAGGCAGAATTGATCCCATGCAACCAATAGATCTTACCCAACTGACCAATGCCAGAGGTGTAACAATGCAGCCATTCAAAAGACATTATGGTGTACATCTTGTGGAAGAGGCAAGTCTATAGCATGGTTTTTTTTTAAAGAACTTACTGTAGTTTTGTAGTTATTGAACAGTTTCAATAATATTCTCAAACCATTGTGTTTTTGTTTTTTGTTAATAATTAGGTTTTTTGTCTAGGAGCTTTATGCATCTGAATATTTTCAAAACAATTATTTAATAGCGTTTTAGAAACATATACCACCAAAATGGCATATAATTAATCAGAAATATTTTTTTAAATGACCATAATCTCAAACTGATGGGACTACAATTTCAGGCTAAGGGCTATATTTGTCAGAGCTCTGTTACTGCTAGGAAATACCCATGTAATTTATAGGAATTATCTGGATAGCAGACCAGGAAGGCATAAAATGAAATATAATCATCCCCAAAGGATGATCTAAAAATGAGTTATCAGAAGAAAGTTTCTCTTCTTGTGAGATGTCACTGTACAAGCATGAGAATATGACAAAGTATGGGTGGTCCTCAGTTGACAATCACTTGTTCAGTGACTGAACTTTGGCACTAAACGAGTGATACTTAAAACTGTCCTTGAAGTGCCAGTTGTTGTAGTCACATGATTGCTTGACAGCAAGACTTGATTTCCCACCATTTCCATCCCACAATCATGTCATTGCCATTTGTGAACTTTCCTGCCAACTTCCCACAAGCAAAGTCAATGTAGAAGCTGGCAGGAAGTTGGAAGTCACAATCACAACAGAAATTCTAATCCCAGTGACCGTTATTAAGCAAAAACTGTACAAATTCTATAATGTTTTTCCTGCTCTCACACTATTTAATAATGTGTTATACTTTGTGTACAGTGAAGAAATATTTCCTAACTGAGTAATCCTTGTCTCTGGAGTTGTGAGTCAGTTAAAAACAAATATTGAAACTCCCAATGAAAATAATCTATTTCTTCTTTAGCCCAGTATGACTGAATGTAATGATGAGTGCTCCAGAAAGCTTGTTTTCAAATTTAAACCTGATCCCAATTATAATCCAGACGACTATAACTTGTACCAGGTTGAATTTCCTGGCTGTCTTCAAAGACAGTACAGTACAAAGTGAACTCCACTAATCCTGAAATAGCTGGCTGATAACTTGCGTTTTAAAATGGGCAGATGGGTGAATGATGTTTTACAGTGATGTTATGTAATTAATTCCAGTTTATGTAAACTTACAGGGTGCTGATACTTTTGCAGCAAAAATAAACATTGAAGTACAATGGATATCTGAACTAGCCATAGCTGCTGTTGAAAAAAATGGTGGTGTAATTACTACAGCTTTCTATGATCCAAGGAGTTTGGGTAAGAATTTTCAATATATTTTCATATTCTTTAATCTTGCCAAATATTATTTAAATAAATCAATATGTCATTATTTAAAAATAAAAGCTTTGCGACAATAATTTTTTTTAAAAAGGATCTGTGATACTTTTCACCAGATTCAACCTGAATGTTATTTTTCTAGTCTTTGTCCTACAGGTATCATTAGAGCAGAAAAATATGATCATGTTTGTTTTAACAGTACAATATACAACATGTAAGGAAATGTATTTTGTATTTTGTGTTAATAACAATTATTCCAGAAATTGGATTGTTAATGTTAAAGTAATATCTTATCTCTCTATTCCATGTTTTATACATAGAGGTTCTTTGCAAGCCAGTGCCATTTTTTCAAAGAGGCAAACCGATTCCAAGGCGAATGCTTCCTCCTGAAGATCTTGTCCGTTACTATACAGATCCTGCAAACCGAGGCTACTTGGCTGATCCTTCAAAGGTTGCTGAAGCAAGGATAGAACTTTCCCAAAAATATGGTTATACATTACCAGATATTACCAAAGATGAACTCTTCCAAATGCTGAGTACTCGGAAGGATCCTAGGCAGATTTTTTTTGGACTTTCTCCAGGTTGGATAGTAAATATGTCAGAAAAGAAGATTTTGAAACCAACAGATGAGAAGTTGCTAAAATATTACAGCTCCTGAATACTGTAATTGGATATATCATTTAATTTTTTCATGTTATATAAATAAAATTGTTTTTTTTTCTAAAAATAAATCAGTTGTAGTTAACAATAGTATAATAAAACATGAACATTTAACTGCATTAGAGTTTATTTTCCTTATGTCAGATGCAAGTTTTAGTATGATTAATCCTTAGTATACAGACTAACTAACTAACCATCCTTTAAGTCACTTACTGCAAATTTCTGGGTCTTCTTCCTGCATTGCTTTCTTATAGAAGTTCAGTAAATATGCCTTTCATACCCTTTTAGCTTGAGATCCAGATGGGTACCAAAGTTTGTATAATGGTTATGCTGATTTCTTGTTGTTGAATGTGTATGTTATTTTTTATAGTTATGTCTTTTGATGATTTTTGTTACTGTTGTTAGCCTTCCACAGTCAATTTGAAATAAGTGAATGTATAATAACTGACTGAATACATATAGGATCAGATAATGTCATCTTAAATGTTTGAATAATAATTGAAAGTATTGCAATTATTTTAAGATATATCTAGGATAATTTTGGGACACGATGGCTCAGTGGCTGAGCTTGTCGATCAGAAAGGTCGGCAGTTCAGCGGTTTGATCCCTATTGCCGCGTAACGGAGTGAGCTCCCATTACTTGTCCCGGCATCTGATAACCTAGCAGTTCAAAAGCATGTAAAAATGCAAGTAGAAAAATAGGGACCACCTTGGTGGGAAGGTAACAGCATTCCGTGCGCCTTCAGCGTTTAGTTATGCCAGCCACATGACCACAGAGACATCGGACAGTGCTGGCTCTTTGGCTTTGAAACGGAGATGAGCACCATCCCCTACAGTTGGGAATGACTAGCACATATGTGTGAGGAGAATCTTTACCTTTTAGTATAATTTTTAAAAAATAAGCTAGTGTTTAAATTATACAAAGATATTCTCTTTACAAGTGTGGCTTTTAATATTTTGTTTTAAAGCACCAAAGCTTATTCTCTAGCAAGAAAACCTGCTTGTGCTATTCCATCTCCCTGTACAGACTCACTTTTATATTTTGATCGCTATATCAGATTTAATAACTCCTTTATGGGCAACAAATCTATTCATACCAAGGAATGAAAGAGTAATGTTGCTATGGACAGTGTATCAATGTATATTTACCCGTGTACTCAGAATAAGAAAGTGTACATCATTTTCAGAATTCATTCTCCAAAGTTGGGGGGGGGGGAAGAAAGGGAATTCTAAGAGCTTTCTGCTAACTAGAAGCTCCCTAAGCGCTATAGATATATTTACTGAGAGAACTGTCAGTTAAAAAAAACAAAACAGTTATTTGGTCACAGATTATCTACTTGTCATATTGTGTGCGCATGGAATTCTTTTAATACCTTTGCAGGTGACTATACAAATATATGACTAATAGAGATTAAAGTATGGTGGAATATCATGTACTGTACTTCAGCTGAGTTATGCATTCCTACTTTTTGTTCATTTCATATGTTTAGATTAATAATGTCGGTTAGTGAAGAGTCTAATGTATATATTTTGTCACTTCCATACTATATTGGACAGATTTCTTTAAGGTGGTTACTTTAGTTAAAAATAAAACCCAGTAACTAGAACATAGTTAATATAATATTTCTTTTTATATTGACTGTCCTGTATTAGAGATTAGATTAACAAGTTATATCTGTTTTTTCAGACGTGATGGTTTAATTTGAGAGTGAACAAGGACAGGAAAATATGAGTAGATTTCCCTCATTGGATAGCACAACATTTTTTCATGAGTTGATTATTGCATTCCAGAATTTGAGACATTAATTGACTGGTAGTAAGATACTCCTGCAGTGAAGTTTAGGCAAGTCTTTCTCTGTAAACTACATTTATATATGTTATAAGGAAAATGAAACTTATTTCCGCTCAGTTCTATATTTGATGAGCAAGTTGCTATATGTGTTTTAAGAATACTTTTCACCACATTCTTAATATAAAATGTACATATTGTGGAGTATTCTAAATAAACTTCAGGTGAAAGGGAAACTGATAAAATGAAAATGGGAAAGAATGAAAACAGGAAACAGATGTCTAGTGACATGCATTGATTGGATAGTACATATTTGTCAAGCACCTTGTAGTCACAAGGCAGCTGTATCCTGATACCAATTTTGTAATGCTATCAATATGTTAAAGAGCCAAAACTGCCACGTTCCACAGAATCCGGTTATTTTATTCTAGAAAGGAAATTATGATCAACTAAAAATTAGAAACAAAGGTGGCAATGCTATATTTTAAAAAAGAAAAACCACTAATTGTTTTTAATATATATTTGAAGATATACTATTATATATATATTAGTTTGAAATCACACTGCTGTAAAGAATTTCCTACTTATCTATTACCAGATAACTATCACTGCCCTTCCGCTGGTAATTTTTCATGTTTTGACTTTTAATTCGAGCCAACCAACTACTCAAATCAAAGAACTTCTCTAAAAGCCAAATCTGTTTTTCACAGATTCAAGATGAATTGTTGCTTCAGCTTTCCTGTTTTGTTGTATATGTAGAAATCTAAAAGTACCATAACAGGAAAAGCACTCGCTAAACTTGCTTCAGGATAAAGGACTTAGTTTTAGCCAATATATATTGAAGAAATGGTTGCAATGTTGTGAAACATTGTTTCATGAGGATGAGAATTGGCCCTAGGCCCTGGACCAAAAAACTAACTCAAAAGTGAAGATTACTGAAAAAAATATAGAAATATTTCTTTCCATTGAGGTGAGTTTTATTACATTGTCATTATATATACATACCATAATTGGGCAAAGTCAAAATGTTTGGGACAGTTGATAAGTCTTAAGGTATTACTAATGATGATTTCATTATCTTCCCCTCATTCCAAAATTGAAAGAAGTGAATGTAAAAAGGTGGTCTTGAAGTTTCTTTCAGAGTAAAATTAATAATGAAAATATAATTGCTATGACAACATAAACAGAATTTTGAAACCACAGCTTACCCATTCATTTGAATTCCAAACAGCCAGTTACAGTCAATGGTACTTTTTTTGGACAGTCCATGGACACACATTTCAAATATTGGATGATAATCTCAAAAGTGCTTTTTCAAAAGACAATTTGACTTTCGTTTTGCTTGAAGACATTTCACTTCTCATCCAAGAAGCTTCTTCAGTTTTCAAAGAATGGTGGAGAATGGACGGATTTATACTCCTTGTAGTCCTCTGGTCGTTAGCACTCTTTCTGAGAGTAGTTGAGACCACTTGGAGGTTTATCTGAGCCCTCAGGGTCATCTGAAGAGTGGAAATGATATGAGAAGTGAAACATCTTCAAGCAAAAACAAAGTCCAGTTGCCTTTTGAAAACTCAACTTTGACACAACCATGATCTGGATAACTGAATCTCCACGAACATACTGGATTATAAACTTTACCTATCATATTCTCATCATCTAGTCAGACAGGAGAATCTGGGACAGTAAATGCCATCTTAAAACCATATCTTTGTTACTTTGGGAATAATGAGCACAACAACCTGGCCATATGTTTCACCTGTGGCTAAGTTTGCCTAAATAGTTCTGTTTATACCTCCTCTCATTTGTTGCCATTTTAGACCATCTGTGGCTATCATTCTTACTTTTTGCTGAATGACTCCCAACAGTTCAGAGTCCTTTTACAAGTATTCTCTTAATTGTCATTACCAGTAATGTGGTACAGTATAGTAATGCCTGTCTTTCTCCTAAGTTTATCCCCACTGCACAATCTCTAACATGTTAGGTCCCATTCTTTGAAATATAAAGCAATCCTGTGATTCTTCTGAAATTACATGGGCTCTTCTTCACCTGGTTCAAGAACAACCTCACTGCCTTTTTGTACTTCATCTCATCTGGTGAATGGGAGGAATTCCCAACAAAGGTGGGTTTGACTCACTGGAAGTGCTATTCAGTCACTGGCTGTTCCTGAAAAGGTGGCAGAGGATATGCGTACACCATGCTTCCTTTGCTATTTCTATTTGCTTCACCCTTACAAATTCAAACTTTCTGACTGGTTGAATAATAAGGTTCCTAGTGCTGCCAGATATTCTGAAAAGGAAAAAACAAGAAACACTGAAGTAACTTTCCCATTGTCTCCTTAATGCCCCACTCCCTCAGTCTGATCCAAGAGAGACAGCTTTTGTCTGATGGACATTCTGTCATTTGTATTTTACCTCTCTTAATAAACTTTGATTTTTTTAAAAAACTGAAATATTGGACATTCTGCCTCCTCCAGCTGAGGAAGAAAGGGAGACCAAGCAAAGTGGGAAAACATATTTCTTTCCCCTGCTGAGATTTGCTATTTTACTTTCTAGAGGAGAGCTCTCTTCTCATCTCAAAACACATGGTGGCAGTAGCACTGTGCCTGGGGAGGAAAGGGCTTCTATCACAACCATGAGATTAAGCAAAGACATAGTGTTTGGCTCAAAGCTAAATGAGGGCTTGATCTTAGACCAATCCTTATCCTTTTTCATTGTCAGACATTCTGAAGCCATATAGGATAATTATATATTGAAGTCATACCCCCTATGCATACATCTTTTGGAATAAGCCCCATGTAATAACAACAAAAAAACATTCAACAAACTGCTCCCTTAATATCTAAATTTATAGGTAAGTTAGACAAGTGCATGGCTTTCAGAAGTATTGGATTATCATTCCTGTAAATCATCCGGATAACCATGAAGCCTACTAATAAACACTGCATGCACAGTTGATTCATATTTGTAAATACTTATTAGCTAAAATTTATTTGCAACCACCAAATATTCACAGTGCTTTCACAGTCATTTGTGGACATGCAAAACAACCAAAAACTGTAGTCGCTCAATACTGATGTTTACAGTTGAGCTGCTAATTCAGTGTTCACAGCAACATTACAGAATGCACTTACTTTGAATAGCAAAAATTACATATTATTTTGAAAGTTATTTTGAAACCCTATGTAAGATTTAAAATTTCACTATCAAAACAAATAAAACTAGAAATTGTGCATATTTTGGGAATCATAAAACCATTTGAAAAAGGAAGGCATGCCAACAATTTCAAAATGCAAACAAAGAAGAATACTGTCAGATTACCTGATGGTCAGAACCACTAGAATTTTCCTGAGGAGGGCAGAGACCTTTTATTAAAAAGAAAGAAAAATACCCACACTGAACACCAGGGGAAGGTATTACATTTAATTTAATTTGGAATAATATTTTCTACTCCCTGATATGGCTTCTAATATCTTATAAAGGGATGTTAAACTACCCAATGATTATTACATGTTAAAACAAAGCGATCTTTCCTAACTTTGCTAATAAAACATGTCAAGTTCTGATTTGTATTCTGAAAAGCAACCTTTGCGATCTTGTGACTCTTAAATGTGTTGACACCACAAGTCCAAGAATTGTTGGACAATTACAATGCCAGCTGGGAATTCCAAGAACTGGGGAAATTGGGAAGACTGCTTGCCTCAAATCAACATGCCTAATTAGCTTCAGCATAATTGAGATGTCCTCCAGATTCACATTTGACTAAGCAAGTCTTCATTCATTCACAGGAAATAATGTTCAAGGTATGTTTTATTTTGATGGCTTTAGGTA